GAAAAAATATGGTAAACGGCCTGCCCAAATTTGCTCATGGAGATGAGAATATCACCTGCGAGGTATGCGTAAAGGGAAAGCAGATCAGAGAGTCGATTCCGAAGGAGAGTATGTGGAAATCGACGCAGGTGCTGCAGCTTGTTCACACGGACATATGTGGACCGATTAATCCTACGTCAACCAGCGGGAAAAGGTACATACTCAATTTCATAGATGATTTTAGTCGGAAGTGTTGGACTTATTTGTTGTCGAAGAAGTCAGAAACATTTCAGTTCTTCAAAGAGTTTAAAGCTGAAGTCGAAAGAGAATCTGGGCAAAAGTTGGTCTGCTTGCGGTCAGATAGAGGAGGAGAATACAACTCAAGGGAGTTTGAAGAGTACTATAAAGAATTCGGGATCCAGAGATAACTCACAGCAGCTTATACGCCACAACAAAACGGAGTCGCGGAGAGAAAGAATCGGAGTGTGATGAACATGACGCGGTGTATGTTGCTGGAGAGGTCGGTGCCAAGGAAGTTTTGGCCTGAAGCTGTGCAATATGCGGTGTACATATTGAACCGGAGTCCATCGAAGGCTCTAAATGATGTAACACCAGAGGAGAAGTGGAGTAACTGGAAACCATCAGTAGAGCATTTGAGAATTTTTGGGAGCTTAGCGTACGCCCTTGTTCCATACCAGAGAAGAATCAAACTTGATGAGAGAAGCATCAAGTGTGTGATGTTTGGCGTAAGCAAAGAATCCAAAGCCTACCGTCTCTATGATCCTGCTACCGGTAAAATATTAATTAGCAGAGACGTTCACTTTGACGAAAATAAAGGTTGGGAATGGGAAGATAAGTTGCTGGAGCAAGAGCTCACTTGGAATGATTCTGATAATGAACCTGCTGGGGAAGAAGGTCCAGAAAACTATCACAATGATCAAGAGGAATCAGAGGAAGAAGAAGACGAAGCTGTAGTAGAAACAGCTCATCAAATCCCTCCGGTGGTTGAAACAGGAGGCGGTAGACAGAGACAACAACCGGTCTGGATGAAAGATTATGTTATTGGAAACGCAAGGATACTCATCGCAGAAGAAGAAGAGGATGAAATTCTTGCGTTATTCATCGGACCAGAAGATCCAGACTGCTTTGAAAATGCAGTTCAAATGGAGGTATGGAAGAAGGCTATGGAAGCTGAGATAACCGCAATAGAGGAGAACAACACGTGGGAGTTAGTTGAGCTGCCAGAAGAAGCAAAAGTAATTGGGTTGAAGTGGATCTTCAAAACGAAATTCAATGAGAGAGGAGAAATTGATAAGTTTAAAGCAAGATTGGTCGCAAAGGGTTACCACCAGAGATATGGAATTGACTTCGATGAGGTGTTTGCACCAGTAGCTAAGTGGGATACGATCAGGTTGATTCTCGCCTTAGCAGCTGAAAAGGAATGGAGAGTCTTCCAACTTGATGTAAAAAGTGCCTTTTTACATGGAGACTTGAAGGAAGATGTGTTCGTTGAACAACCAAAAGGATTCGAAGTAGAAGAAGAATCCAACAAGGTGTACAAGCTGAAGAAGGCCTTATACGGTCTAAAACAAGCTCCGAGAGCTTGGTATAGCCGTATAGAAGGGTACTTTGTTAAAGAAGGGTTTGAGAAATGCTACTGTGAGCATACTCTGTTCGTAAAAAAGGAGAGAGGTGATGTCTTGGTGGTAAGTGTCTATGTGGATGATCTCATTTATACAGGAAGCTCGATGGAGATGATAGAGGGATTTAAGAAATCAATGATGGAAGAGTTCTCTATGACTGATCTAGGGAAGATGAAATATTTTTTGGGAGTTGAGGTGATACAAGATGAAAAGGGTATCTTCATCAACCAAAGGAAGTATGCTGCAGAAATCATTAAGAAGTATGGTATGGAGGGAAGCAATTCAGTCAAGAATCCGATTGTGCCCGGGCAGAAGCTAACAAAGGCTGGAGCTGGTGATCTCGTTGATCCAACTGAGGTCAAACAACTCATTGGGAGTTTGAGGTACCTAACCACCACACGACCGGACTTGATTTTCTCTGTGAATCTGGTTAGCAGGTACATGGAAAGCCCAACTGAGCAGCACATGTTGGCAGTGAAGAAAATTTTGAGATACGTTCAGGGAACACAAGGTCTCGCGATTCAGTACAAACGTGAAGGAACAACAGAGTTGACTGGTTTTGTTGACAGTGATTACGCCGGTGATGTTGATGACAGAAGAAGCACTTCCGGGTTTGTTTTCATGTTAGGAGGGGGAGCAATTGCTTGGGCATCAAAGAAGCAACCTATCGTGACACTATCAACAACAGAGGCTGAGTTTGTGTCTGCTGCTTATGGTGCTTATCAGGCAATGTGGATCAGAAATGTTTTAGAGGAGAGTGGTTTCAGACAAGAAGAAGGTACGCTCATGTTCTGTGATAACAGTTCCACCATTAAGCTGTCAAGGAATCCTGTTTTGCACGGAAGAAGCAAGCACATTCATGTGAGGTACCATTTTCTGAGAGAACTAGTGAAAGAAGGAACACTTAGGCTCGATTACTGCGCAACCAAAGATCAAATTGCAGACATCATGACCAAGGCTGTGAAGCGTGAAGTGTTCGAAGAGCTTCGGGGAAGAATGGGAGTAAGATTCAGAGAAGTATAAACTGAAAAGGAGATGGTTTTCAGTTTAAGGGAGGGAATGAAGAATAATAACCAAACCGGTTTGGGTCTGCATCAATCGGCCTGCAGTTTCTGGTTTTGCGTTTTTATTTATCTCTTATGTTGACGTTTTCTTTGTTGAATAAGTCAGCTCCTTAGTCGGAGAAAGACTCGGGACGTTAGTCTAGTAGCTTAAGTTTCGTAGCTTCTGTTTTGCTTCCTTGTAATGTCTATTTAAGACCAATCTGAATTCATAAATGCATACGAGTTTCAGTCTCTGCTTTTTCAAAACTCTGTTTGTTTCTTAAGTGAGATTTGATAAAAGCAACATCAACTTATGTGGCCGCATTGATAGGCATTCTTATACTTGTACATGTGTTTTGATTGTCCTTGGGGTCGAGCATGGCTCCGCATTGTGGATGCTTTCATCGCCTTAGCTAAACGTGTGTTGCCTTGAGATCTGCTGACCTCAGTTCTTGGATATTTCTGTAAAACTTTGTTTATGTATGATTTAAATGCTTTTCTCGTGTAATTTTTTTCTTTTTGGATTTGAAAACTTTGTTAAGTACACTTGTAGTTGTACATGTATTTTTTAGTGAACACCGTGATGTAAATGCATATTTTATTCTGTATTTAGACGATTTTCAATAGGACATTGAAACACACAATTTACTACTATTACACCAAAATTTCTCCAATGTGACACTAAAAGTGATATCAAATTAATTTGATCTTTACACCAAATTTACTATTCACATTTTTATAAATATAATAATAATAATAATAATAATAATAATAATAATAATAATAATAATAATAATAATAATAATAATAATAATAATAATAATAATACTCCCTCGTCCCATTTTATTAGATGTTTGGACTAAAACCACAGAGATTAAGATACAATAAAAAAAAATTTCATTTATGAAAATTCAACAAATAGAAGAAGATACTGCATAATTAAAATAATTAAAAATTATTAAACTATTATAAATCATGCATTAAAATTAGAGAAAACCTTATATAATAGAACAAATGAAAGGTCTAAAATATCTTATATATTATGACAGGGGGTAATAAGTAGTTGAAATCATAATATTATCATAACTTTATGTGTTTTTTAAATTATATGAAAATATTAAATTAAATATTAATTTTTATAAAATATTTAAATAAATAAACAAATTGATTAGAAATAAATGATAGATAAAAAAACTTGTAACACAAAATTACAAAAAATTTAAAATAAGAAATATATATTTTAATAAATTATAATAACTATTTGTTAAAATTATTAAACAATAAAAATAAATCTTTATATGTTGTTACTAGATTTTAACCCGCGGTATACCGCGGGGCTATATTTTCTTAAAAAAATCAAAATGTAATTTGTTTGATAGATTATTTTGATTGTTAATTTTAGGATTTCACCCGTGGTATACGATCTTTTATAAATATCAACCCAAACCCGTCCCATCATATTACCCGTCCCGTGAAATTAAACATTATTTAGTTATTTTTCTTTTTAATAATACTTTTATTTAAAATCTATATAATTCAAGTCAATTTAAAAATTTCTTTTAAATGGTTCCCATAAGATATATATACATATATATTAAATTTGTATAGAGTTGAAATAATATTAATATTACAAATTTTTTATATAATTTAAATATTATAAATATTTTTAAAAATATGTAATATATATTTTTTGTTATTGAATAAGAGGATATTATGTGTAAGAAATGTAGAAAATAAGAGTTTAATATTTTTATTATGGAGTCGCAAAAAAATCTTTTATTTCTATACATGTTATTCATTTATTAATAATAAAAGAAAACAAATCCTTTAAATTAGATATTAACTAAAATAAACGCACCATAATTACTTATTAAGTAACAACCAATAAATTTCACCAAAAAATAGGTAACAACCAATAAATTCTAAACGCAGTAATTAAAGAATGAGATATTAAAAAAAAAATATCAAATAAGATATATAAGAACCTTAAAATAATTGAACATCTAAATAATTTAATTGTTAGTGTCGATTTTAATGCCTTCATTAATGTGGATTTTTTTTTTTTACAGAGAAATATTTCCTAAAGATTATCACATTAATGACTCAGAAAATTAAGGAAGATATGAATTTATGATTCTCGAAATCGTATTGGTAATATCTTTAAGTAATATTTTTCAAATTTAAATAATTAATGCCAATGGCATTCATCCGTAAATAAGGTCCAACTCCAGGATTTATTTGCTAAAAGTCATTCAAAAATGTATATATAGATTATCAAAATGGAATCAAACTGGTGTAAGTAAAACAGGGAACAGAAATGCCTACCCAAAAAAAAAACAGTGAACAGAAAAATTATCCCCTATAAACCAAAGGGAAAAAAAAAAGAAAGAAAGTCAGAAATCTCAAATCGGTGACACCAAATCCTTCTCGCCCATTGATACAGTCTACTTGTGCTTCAATGGACATTTGATTTCATCAAATCCTGCGTTAGGTGAGAATGACGCTTCGCCATTGTCGGAGTTCCTTTCTTTGTCTGCTGTAGAAAACTAGAGGCAAAAATGTCCCAAGTTTTCATGAATCTGAGTAAACTTCTATATGTCTGCTTCTGTTTACATGTTTCTTTGGTCCGTAGATCGAAGTAGAACTGTCACTTATAGTACAAGACTAGTGAGTTTATTACTAAACAACTGGATTAACGATGAGTTATTTACATGGGAGCTAGAGTTGATTTTGGTTCCTTCTATTGGCCTAAGTGCAATGTGTGGCTCCTATGTTAGTGTTTTAACTAATGCTGATTGATATCTAACTTTGTAATCCTTGAAAATGTCATCTGTCGATTGATGTACGGATATACGACTACGCTTGTGTATGTTTTGAAGAGAATGCATTCTTTTGGTAGTTGGCAATGCTAATCTCTTAACTACTGAGGAATTTTGATTACTGTTTCTGCCTCTTTTTCTTCTTCAGTTGTGATTGTTGTCACTTATATTTTTCTTTGTTCATTACTGTGTTTATAGTTTACCGATGGACTCTGTAGCTGCTGACGGGGCGGATTGTGCTATTTCAAATGGTGGTGTGACTATGGAAGGAGACAGTAGTAATGGAAATGGTACTTCGGAGAATTTGGAAGGTTGTTCCACTCAGTATCCTATGGAGGCATCTGAGGTTGGTGATTTGAAATTTCTGTTTTGCTCTTCCCTTTTTGCACAATTCCTTGTTATTGACATTGCAGTTGTCTCGCTTTTTCTAGGGCACACAAAATGAACAAGTGGATGATTCAAAACAGATGAGTAGACAAAAGGTGCAAGGAAAAGTCAAGCATGAGAAGACCTCTGGGGGCAAGAATATTCCATCAGTCTTGGTGAAGAAGAAAAGAGATGGGAAAGTGGTGGCATCAAATGGCTCGGTTGCTCCAAACGTACCTCCAGTAAAGTCTCCTAAGAGCAAATCGCTCAACGTTAGAGAGGCTCATGTCACGAAGGTTACTAATTTCTCTGTTTGTTCCTAAGATACTTGACCTCAATGCAGATTCTCTAATGATTTGGTTTCGTTAGTATTGTTAGTTGTTACTGGTGATTAGCCATGTGTATTTTTGGCTGAGAGTTGTCTCTGATCTCTTCAATTTTTCATATCAGCATGGGAAGAATCACTCTACACCAGCTGAAGGGACCAGGTACCAATATCATTCTTAAAAACATGGTTTCTGTTTTTACATGGCTGAACACTTGAGCTTTTGCATCGGTTCATTGCACAAAACTCTAAACAGATGACCGAAAATTTCCTCCAAGATCTTTGTGTGTCACTCAAAGCTTCTGATTTATGTATTAGTTCCTGTCTTTGAATCTGGTAGTTCGTTTCTCTTTTTGATACAGGGACAAGCCAAAACTGATGGCAACAAGGAAACAAGTCAATGATACATCTGAAGATGATACGCAGTCTTCCAAGTATTTCTTTTTTGGATTTACTCTTTATTCTCATTTCCTTAGTATTTTTTTCTGATTAAAACTTGCTTACTTTTTAGTAGTCCAAAAGAAGAAGATGGCAAATCTCGTCGAGCTAGTTCACTTCCAAATTATGGATTCAGTTTTAGATGTGACCAACGAGCTGAAAAAAGAAGAGAGGTTTCATTTGCTTCACTGTACTTATCCTCACAACAAACATGCAACAAAGTGTCATAGATCGCTTTCATGTGATGCAGTTCTATTCAAAACTTGAGGAAAAGATCCATGCGAAAGAAGAGGAAAAGAATACTGTACAAGCCAAGTCCAAGGTTGTGTTCTATGCCCTCTTGTTTGTTTAAAGTGTCCTCTTGTTCGTTTAAATTTTCTAGATGCTCAGTCTTCTCCTGTGAATATCCTCTGGAATACTTGCAGGAAACCCAAGAAGCTGAACTTAAGATGCTAAGGAAGAGTCTGAACTTCAAAGCCACCCCAATGCCTACCTTCTATCAAGAACCTCAGCTACCTAAAACAGAGTTAAAGAAGGTGAGTGCATCTTTGCAACTGCTGCACTTTTGATTTCTATTTTTCTATCATGTCAGTACATGTATCATGTAAAATTGTATATACTTGTAGATACCAACGACGAGACCAAAATCTCCAAAACTCGGGCGGAAGAAGACCGATTCTGGAGCAGATTCTGAAGAAGCCATTACTATTCAAACCCCTCGCATTGGTAGGCTGAGCTTAGATGAGAAAGCTCCTGTCGTCAAAGGAAGTGTTCCTGTTGAGACCAAGAAGCTACCAATGCGCAAGTCACTTCCCAGGTTGCCTTCAGAAAAGACAAATCTGTCCAACGGGAAGGTGGCTCCAGCAAAAGCTGTAACAGCCTCAACAAAGGCAAAATCCGAGAGAAAGAAACCAGATAAAGATGTGGATGCCCAAAGCCAGTCAAGTCCTGTAGGCGACAATGCTGACCCAGAAGATTCACAAGAACAAGCTCCAAGAGTGAATGAAGACAGAAACGAATCTCACATGGTAGTGGAAGTGGTTGCGGTTGAACCTTAAAACCTACGGTACGATTGTTGTGACCACCAAAATCGCATTCATGAATTAGTTAAGGAGCGAAAAAGAAACAGTGTGATAAATGGGTGAAATCAAACTGTTTATTCAGAAGATGGACAAAGAGTGAAAGAAAGAGATGCAAATTTGATGCTGTGCTTTACTTCACAAGGTTGCTTGCTGCTTCTATATTTCGTTCGTGAGAGCTTCAATTGTGTTGCATGATGTTGGGTCGTAATGCTTAAATTCTGTTTGGTTGTTTGTCGTAAAGATCTGTTTTTTTCATTCTGTTATGATGCTTAAAAGGTGAATTTTGAGGAGATTGTAATTGAGTTGTGTGCTGTGTAAGCTGTTGTGCACAAAGTTACGGGAACATTGACACATTTTTCAGTACAATTCATAGAACCCTGAATGTTAGAAGACGTTCAAGCTGTGAGACATGTTCAAGCTTTTACTCGTCTTTAGAGTTGTACCAATGTATACCATGGTGATTGAAGCAGAAGCCGTTAAGCTACCTTAAGATGATCATTCGCAAGGATGTCCAAGTCAAGGAACTCATGTGGTTTGATGCTCAGACTGCCTGCGGTACGACAAGCCGAAGAAAACATCTAGACTGGTAAACTATCTTCACCCGCGATCGAATCCCACCGTCCAACAACTACCTGGAGAAATCCACCATATGTGGGGTTGTTCATGACTCATGTTAAGATGTCCCTTTATCACACATCCAAACCACAATTTAATTTTGACCGGGCCATTCTCCGCGGGCAAGTAACACCCGAACAAACCCCTCTGACTCTATGTTCTTTCTTGTCTGTGGTTTACAACCTACTGTACCAAACATCCAGACAACCAAGCGATAAGTTCCACCGGCTACCTCCCATGGTTCAACATATGCCCAACAACACACAAACCAGTCTTGTGGTTGTTTTAACCCACAATGCGGTCAAGATTCTCAGTTCAACCGTGACAATATTTGACAAAAGGAAACACTAAATCACATAAAAGAAAATTGACATAATATTTTTGTTTAAATAGTTGGTACAATACAATCAACTTAAACCATTATTTAACAACCATCATTACAATTTTAACCAGAAAATGGTGAAATAGCTTCAGTTTCATTAGAACATTTGTTCCATATTTCGTTAGTTTTGATCATAGCTTTAGAACTAAAACGTTTGAGTTGATAGAATTGCAAAAACAACTTCATCAATTCTGTGTGGCATTGCTTGCCAGCTTTCACTATCATCAGACAACAATCTCTCGAAGTACTTTTGTTCCGAGAAATTCCGTCTCTATATTCAATGTTACATTCAGTCCCACCAGGTCCCATTTTTACACCGCAGTTAAGAAGATATTTGAGATGTTTTCTTGATTGTCCACGTATAACGTTGAGATTATAATCACCTGGACTCGGCCAATGTTTAAGCACCACATCAAACTCGTTGATTAGCATTTCTTCAAGATCGGCTGCTATGGCCAAACTTTGATTAAAAAATGATAGCAAAACCATAACTGAAAAAAATGTCATGAGAATGGTTTTATTCTCCATTTTTTATTTGTTTTAAGATATTTTGATTTTATTTTTTTTATTTGTGTTATGCCACTAATTAAGATTTGTGTGTTTTATTTATAGTGAACGAGTGTTCATTAATGTTATTACTAGTAACTGTTTATTGATAACGAAATTATTTAAACAAAAGTTATAAAATAAAGAATATAACGTTTCTGTTTGTTATTTATGATCAACAAGATGTCTTCTATATATTAAATAAGAGTTTTTGTTGCTGATGTGGCAAGCCCACAATTTTTTTCAGCCTTTTTTTTATAAGTAACCTATCCCACTTGCCAAACACTCTTATTTCCCAATAATACTTATTTTGATTATTCTAATACTAATTGACAAACACATAAGAATCCTAAACTTACCAAAAATAATTGTTTCAAAATTTTAATATTAAATCTTACTAATAAATGTGAACACATTTTTTGATATATACAAAGGAATTTAATGCATTTAAACTACCAAAAACACTTTCCTAAAATTAAGGAGGAGTTATTGGTTCATGGATTTATAAAGAATTAGAAATCCAAACAAAAATCATTTGTTATTCAATCATTGATTTTAAAATCTTAATTAAAATCATTTGTTATTGGTTCTATGAATTATAAATACTAGTTGAAATCCTTTGTTATTCGTTTAATCATTTGTTTTTGGATTTGAGAATCCAAATTATGTTTTAAATGGATTTGAATGGAATTGAAAGAGAAAAATAGAAGGATTCAAATCCATGGGTAAACACATGTTATTTCAAAATCCATATATCTTGATTTCATAATTAATAGAAATTTTCAAATTCTATATGGATTTACAAATTAATAAACCAATAACACCCCCTAAATTTTCCTACAAAACAAATATAATCAATAAAATCCATAAAACAAATTTTAATAATCTTCTACTAAGTAAACATAAGATGAAACAAATATTGTTAATTTGTCACCAATCCAAATTTACAATGAAACTAAACACAACAACTTTGTAAATTACAAACATATTAAAAATTGATAATAATTTAATCAAATATCTATATTTAAATATATATAAATTGATAAATTTAATAGCATAAAATTTATGTACGGGTTCTTACCTATTGTTTTGTTAAGTATGGTATGATTATTATTATTATTATTATTATTTTCATAAACTATATATACAATTTCTATAAATTATTAAAAAATTAAGTCTAATTGATCTCCGGTTGAATAAGGTTGTTTCGATGACCCGGCCACTATTTTAGTTTGTTGTATGAGTCATATTTAAGAACATTGATCAAATGTATTGGACCGATTCTAGAAATAAATTCACTATTTGATCTTAATCTTCATTTTTGTTTTGCTAAAATAAAACATATTAATTTTGGATCTAAAATACAGTGATCTACAAAGTGATATAAATTAAAATAATGATTATTTGGTGAGATAAAATTGTACGCACTTGTCACAAGGATCTTAGCTACCATCATGTTGTACCCTCTGTATTATCCATCACCTAGATATACATCCTTGTGATAATTTTTATATCGGTCGCATTTGGTTTGTCTCATGAATTATATCCACACATATTTCTTAGACTTTTTTTAGGATAAAAATATATTAATTTACTCAATAAACTTATCTAAAAAGACAGGATATACTCTAATCCCAAAAGATTGAAGTTGTTGTTTAATATAGTCCGGAATTGGATTGCCAACCGCATCTATAGTAGTAACTAGACCGAAAAATTTGCCGCAGCAAGAGCCTTGCAAATATTTGGGGCAATTTGACTCGGGCGACAAGTTTTGGGATACCACAATTTTCGGTATCCCAAAACACGACATTTTTAGTACATAAGGAGTTTTCTCTTCGGCCTGTTAAAATTAAAAACATAATTTTAAAAAAATGCAGTTTATGAAAAATACAAGTTTGTAAATTTGAAAACTAATTCTCTTTTATCTTCTCAATGAATTATTATTAATCCTATATATATATATATATATATATATATATATATATATATATCTTTTATTATATAAAGTTGGATTTTCAAAGTTGATACGTGTGATTGTGACACGTGTCATGTCTATTGATCAGATGTTGATATGTGTTAGAAAAGATTTAACTTTTTGTTCTTAAAGAAAAAAAAAAACTGAAAAAGACATATTTATATATACTAATTTAGGTCTATATCTAAAAAAATTTAACTTTTATTTTTCTTAACAAAAAAAGAAAACTAACATAAAAACTTTTACATGTGTTATTGGTCAATTAAATTTGGCATGTATTAGTTTAAGAAAAACTTTAGCATGAATATGAACTAATAAATAATGACCCTTGAAGTTAAAGTAACAATATAAGGTATTTAACAATAATTTAATTGAATAAAAATTGTATTTATCATTGTAATATAGTGTTTTTATTTGTTGAATGAAAACACAAAATAATGAAAAAGTAATGAGCTTATAAAAATGAATTTTTGAATACTTCATGTTTATACTTATGTTTTATTATGTTTATACTTACATTTGGATTAAATGCGTTAAATTATTAGTATTGTTATACATATGTTTTATTCTAAAAAATTTAACGCATGTAGATAAATATAAAAATTTTGGGGGAAAATGGCTTATAGGATTGAAATTTTGATTACTTAATGAGAATGTTATTATTGTTTTTATTTATGTTTTATTATTAATTTTAACTCATTTAAAATTAGTTTGACATGAGTTAAAACTATATTTCAAACAATGTTTGTTTTTCAAAAAAATTTCTATATTTCTATTTTTTAATTAATTATGTTTTGTTATTGCTAATTATTTTTTATATTAACTAAGATATATATTTGATATGCATGATATAAACTTTTTAGCACTTATCCATTAAGATGAATGTGTAGAATTAAAATCTAGTTTTATTGTGATGAAATAGATATTAAATTGTATTGCAAAATGAAATATGTAAGATTGAAATTTGGTTTAATAAACTACTAAATTAAATACCAAAAAAGTGTGTGGGTTACTATTTAGAACTCAAATATCATCAGTAAAATAGAGTATGAAAAATTAAAATTCACTTTATTATGATGAAATAGATAGTTAAAATGTATAGTAAAATAGAATGTGTGAGACTGAATTTTTGTCAAAAATTTAAATTACAAAATTAAATGTTATGAAAAGTGTGTGGATTATTATTTACTATTCAAAATTTAAATATGATTAATAAAATTTTACATTTCTATCTGACATCTGCCTATTTATATAGTCTTCAATTATTAACAAAATTAATATCTTTTAACGTTATACGTCTTTCATAAATATGGTTAATTTAATACATTTCAGTTTATGAAAATATGAAACAAAGTGAAATCCTAAACGAATCATATTCTATAAGGCCCATTAGTCTTGGAATGGTAAGGGAAAAGGAGCCTAGGTGGCGAGCTGGTTGAGGCCTTAATACCCCCAACATTTTGGCGTCGCAGTCCCATGGGAGGGGTATCAATAAGTGTATATTACATCAGTTAGATGAAGAATTGGGTGTTAGTATACAAGTGGTCATGACTTCTCTCCCTCATAACCTGGTTGTTGAGGAGGGGTTTGACTCATGGGCCTTAGTAGAGTTTCTCGATTGGAGTAGTCGAGCTGACCAAGGAGGGTGTACTCTCCGCTGTGATGGTGGCCTGTTGTGGATGGGGCTATTTAGACAGTGGTTTGGGATGTGAGACGCTTCAGAACTGTTGGTGAGTTAGAAGACTCGATAAAAGAGCCAGCTGATTAAGAACATCAAAGAAGAGTGTCAAAACCTTATGTCAAACTTGGTTGATGTACTTGTCATGTAGAAACAAAGAGTCTCGTTTTAACATAACACGAATTTCATTTAATTAATTGTTTTAATTAGTACTCGTCTTGTTTTAAGAAATAATGTATAATGACAATTTAACCTTTTCACCTTTTAACACATTTTAAAGAGTATATTATTTATTGTTGTTTAATAAGTGTAAAATAGGCAAACTGTTTTAAATTTGATATTAGAAACACAAAACTTATATCTTTGTAAGACAAATTTTTTTCTAAAAAATTCATCTTCGTGGGACGGAGGGAATAGAGGGAGTATTAATTAATCTTGAAATTATTGCATACTGTATTCAAACTTTTCTTTAGATGCTTGGGAGTTGGTACATTCTCATGGTCAAGGTTATCTGAACAAGACGCGCAATTCACAATGATTCTTTGTCTCCACTTTAAGGGTTCATAATTTAGAAATCTGGCCCATCTTAATTAATTAATTAAGATTAGTCCACAATAACAATAATAGCGACAACGAATACTAATAATAATGACTCTTTTTCCACTTTTGTTTAATCCCACTCAAATCATATCGTATCGAGAAAAATAGTAGCTGGCCAGATTCTTCCCCTCTACCACATTCATTGAACATCACATTCACTTTTTGATTGGACACAAACAAACGTTAAGTAAAGTCAAAACTCAGGTCACACAATCTGATTCTCTGTCCCACACATGAATAATAGGGGAATATATGCTTAAAGGTGTAATTTCTCAGATCTTGAAGGATATGAAAGAAAAAGAAATGTAAACTTTGTATTATACATCGAAATGAGAATTTTATTCAATACTCATTAAACCATCACAAAGGGCATTACATAATTTAGTACAGTGTTTATACAGATTGTAATACAGTGCCTGGAAAAAAAAACGAGGGCTCTGGCAAAAAAATAACACAAAAAACTCTTTAATAGAGTTGTTGCAACAAAAGCCAGAGCAAACCTCTGAGAGAACCAAGGCCTGAACAAAACCTGAACCCGTACAAATCATACAAGACCTTTCCGAGGAAAACCAAACCAAACAAAGACAAACGACGCGCATAAAATAGATAACTGGCTCGTAAAAGACACCAAAGCAAGAAACAGGAGATGATAAACCCTAAAATCTCGGATACCCGGTAAATATATTCTCAAGCAAAACACAACCTTCCGATTTCGAGATAAGCAAGAGTTTCCCTTGATAAAAAGGAAACCCCGCAAAAAAACCATTGACTGGAAAAAAAGAAACCGGAAGCGAACTGCTTGGAAAAAAGAAGGAAAACCGGTACCAAGCCTAGCGAGGGACACGTAGATCACAGAGCCTGAAAAACAGTTGACACTTGATAAACGGACTTGGACGGACTAAAATACCTTACATTATAGGTGGACAGGTCGACAGTGGAATTGTTGATCAGGAGAGGATGTCACATTTGTAAAGGCGCTCGACTAAGAACTCGACAGTGGAATTGGAGATGGATCGACACTGTTGGAGGTTTAATCCCAATAAAGTGGAACCCAACCCGACGATGGCTGGCATGCTCTTGTCTGTCACCATAGAGCAACCTGCAACTGATAGGATCTGCAGTTTGAGCTTATCAGAGGAAGCCAATGCATGAACCCCTGAATCTGAGATTGCGCATTTCGAAAGATCCAAATCACTGAGAATCTGGCAGTTTGCTGCAATGGAGACCAGGCTGGCGTCAGTGATATTGGAACATCCATCGATGTTTAAGACTTCAAGAGTCCACCCGTTACGAGCAGTGATGGCAGAGATCACTCTGTCGGTCAAGTTGGAACAACCACTGAAGTTGACCTTCACAAGAGAGCTCTTAATTAGATGTAGGAAACCAGACTCTGTTATCCCCTTAAGCCCACACAGATCAATTTCCTCGAGCTGAGGGCACAACTTCCCGATGGCTGCAAGATTTGCATCACCAAAGCCAGGACAGTTACGAATAGACAAAGAGCGCAGAGCGCTGCAATGAGATGAAGCAGGCAATCCTGTGGTGAGATCTCTAATGCTCAAACAGTTCACCAGAGAGAAAGCCTTCAACTTTTCACCACAGTTCAAAAGGGAACCAAAAAACCCAAATTGGGTAACCCTGTGGCATTCTTCAAGCTGAAGACTCTCAAGTGATAAAGAAGCTTTTGCAAAAGATACCAACCCATTGTCGGATAACAAAGGGGATTTACTGATGATCGCCTTTTTCATGTTCGGGCAGCCCTTTCCAACAGATTCAAGCCCCGTGTCAGTCACTCCCTGGCAGGCTGTGATGGTCAGAGCGTTTAATTTTTGGAGCCCGACACCATTTCCCATGACCCAGAATCCCTTCTCGCTCACGTGTGATAATCCAGCGAGCACAAGATCAGTGATCGACAAGCCGTAATGACCCACAACAGCAAGAGACACATCAGTGACATTCAGCATCTGAAGCTTAAGTTTTGCCAGAGAACATGTTGTGTTAGACAGTAGAGAGGCGATTCCTTGATCCCTGACAAGAGGACAGTTCTTGATCGAGACTGACTTCAGCTTGGAGCAGGATCGTGCAATGGCTTGCAGACCCTCATCTCCAATTTTTGAACAAGCCTCCAATGTCAGCTCACTCAAGTTAGGGCAGCTCTTAGCAATAGCAACCAAACCCTTGTCAGTGATTGTAGAGCATTGGTTCAGGTCAAGCTTCTCAAGTTGAGGACAACCCTCAGCAATCTCCAAGAGACCATTGTCAGAAATAGTAGAAAGGTTCCATAGAGAAAGAGACCCCAGAGAAGGGCAGCTCCGACCAATTGACGTAAGACCAATATCTGAAACCTTGCTACCAGAATTGCTTCCCCGGATAGACAGTTTTCCAAGTCCCCCACGACCAGCAGTCCCAACAGCAATTGCAGCTAGTCTAACATCTGTTGCCTTCTTGCCATCTAAGCTCCTAGACAAACACCCTTCACAATCATCACCATCTTCAGTTTTGTTGGAAGGAACATCAAGCTCCTTTTGCCGGATACTACTCACAAGCTTAAGCCAATGTTTCGAGACAAAAGCGCAAGCACTCCTCTCTTGCGGTCCAGGCAAACGCCTAAAGATCTCAAAAAGGCACTCATCTGGAAGCACATCAATTGAAACTGGCTTTTTCTCGAAACCACTGAAGACCGTAGGTGCAACGACACGCGATCTCTTACTAGGAGGGAAATAGACATCCACGAAACTACCAAGCGACAGCAAAAGACTAGCATCCTTCGGGTTTGGGTATATTGCGCCGCGACGGTAAAAATCATTTTCACCTGTAAAATAAAAAAGGAGAAATTCTGATTAGCTAAAGAGATCATTGAATCACGATCAAATTCAGTTAATTAACCTAATGATTCTCAGATCCACAAAAAAAAAAAAGGGGAAATTGCAAATTAAATCTATGGATGATAACATCCATGATAAGATCTATAGCTCGTCAACGGCCAAAACTAAAACTCAGATCTATCTATTTTTATAGATCTAGTAAGAATCAAGTCATCGGTGAACAATATCCTATAAGCCAAATCCTCAAACACGGAAACGCCTAAATCTAACCGAATAATCAAATTCCGAGATGAAATCGAGTGAAATAACAAGAGATCGTGAAGCTTACCAGCAAAACTATAGATCTGAGACATGATTTGAGCTCAAAACTCCCAGGAAAAACGAAAACGCTTGATTTCTCAAGCGAAAACCAGTGGGAAAGAGCAAAAAGGAAAGATCTGAAGACGATTAAGAAGAAAACAAACAGATTAGCTCCGATTATAGCAAAGAGAGAGATGCACATGAAGATCAAAGATCGAGACGAGAGAAGAAAACCCTATTGATAGGGCAAAAAAAAAAAGCAGAGAGAGAAGAGAGAAGAGAGGAGAGGAAAAAAAAAAGGAAAAGGAAATGATCGGTCAGTATGAGGTCAAGATATGAGTTTTTTTATACTTAGTTGAAATTTTCACATGCAATGTATCTGAGCTGAGAATTAGGATCGTATTTAATTTTGTTTATTTTATTCCCACAACACACAAAAAAGTTGCTTAAATAGACCAGTTTTTTTCCCCTTTGAGAGCGCGTTAAGGCAAGCAATGAGGTGTTTGGTTACTTGGTTTATATTATGAATTGTTTTTGTTTGGTTCCTGGAACAACCTTACTCTTTTTGCTACGTTTGTGGCTGATGTCAGAATCGTTTTTCTTGTGTGTTTTCTCATCTAATCAACTCTAGAAATCAAAATAGAATCAACACGAACGCACTGTGATTACGAGGATTTATATTAATTAATACTCCCTCTGTTTTTTTTGATAAATAATGTTTTAAGCTTTTAATTTTGTTCTTACATAAATTATGTTTTTAATTTTCAATGCAAAATTAATTACTTTTTAATTGGTTTTGACGATTTATTTTCTGTAGATTGTTTTTTTTATTGGTTGATTAGATAATAAATGATGTTTTAGTTTAGAAATGGGAAAAAACCCGAAAAAACCGCCATCTATTTTTTTTTTGGCAGTTTAATACGCGTGTTATTAAAGTTAGAATAAAAATGCCTGTTTTAATTTTAATTGCCTTTTAAAATCGTCGTGTTTTAAAACTTGGTATAATCATACACCCACGTTAACAGACGTTAACTCTACTAACGGAATGACTAACCGCGGTTAAATCCTTAACCCAGGGTGTTTAAGTATATATATACAATCTCTGTCCAAAAACTTACTAATATATTGTTGTAGCTAGATGGTTAAACGGGAAGACATCCCAACTAAACTTGGGTTCAAATCCCCATTTTGACGTTTTTTTTTAGTTTGTTTTTCTCCATCTTCTCTTTTTTAATATTTTAGGGATTTTATAAGGTTTTGCCGTTTTAGTCGACATTTGTGTTTTTTTTTTCTTTTCTAAGGTTTAAAATAAATTCTATTAATTTTCTGTAATTTATCGTAAAATTTTTCCGGTGCCGTCTGCGTTAAGACTTGGGAACAAATTAAAGCTGATGATCTCCTCCGGGCTCCGGTCAAGTACTCCTCTCGACGATTCAAACATAAATTTTACGAATTCGAATTTCAAGTTTCCGATTCTCTAAATCAATTGATTCCACTCTTCGTCAAATGAGAAAAGCCCTAATTTTGATCCTCTAAGTCACACATGGGTGCGAACGAGTTTCGTTTCTTCCTCTCCTGCGATATCAATTCGCCCGTCACTTTTCGTGTCGAGAAGCTTGATGGAAACCTCCCCGTCAAGAAATCTTCTGATTCGGGTACTCAAAAGATTTTGATTGAAAGAAACTTGAATTGATTCTCTTAATCCCTAATTTTGGTGTAATGGGAACTTGTTTTGTTGATTGGTGTGTGAAATTTAAGAATTTATGTCGGAATTGGCTTATTACTGCAAATTGGTTCAGTTCTTGTGATGAGTTGGTTTGATTTGTGTGTGTGTTTTAGGAGTTGTCTCCGTCGTAGAGGAGAAAAAACCAGAGCTTTACATTGAATGTGCATTGTATATTGATGAAGACCAAAAAAAAAAAAAACGTTTTAAAGTGACGGCGGTGAGATTCGAACTTAGGTTCGAGTGGACAATTCAACACATGTTTAACCACCAGACTAAGATAATATATTTGTATATGTTAGAAAAGAGATTGTATATATATACGTAAACACCCTGGGTTAAGGTTTAACCGCGGTTAGTCATTCTGTTAGTAGAGTTAACGTCTGTTAACGCGGGTGTATGATTATACCAAGTTTTAAAACACGACGATTTTAAAAGGCAATTAAAATTAAACCAGGCATTTTTATTCCAACTTTAATAACACGCGTATTAAACGGCAAAAAAAAAATAGATGGCGGTTTTTTCCCGTTTAGAAATAAACAAAAATTAAATGATTTCTTAATCTATGTGTATTCTCCTAAAACATCACTTATAAAAAAACGGAAGGAATATCTCGCACAAACCTCAATTTAATGGTTATCATTTATAGTAAGAATCGAATCCATATGGAATTAGAGTTTAAAAATAATAGGCATATAAAAAATTTCTTAAGATAAGCAAATATAGGATGAATTTTAAACTAACAAGCCAAGTGAAATAAAAATAAAAGGAACTAAAAGACAAATTAAATAGATAAATCAAAGGCAATTGGCCAAGCTAAACAAGTACTAAGCAATTATCCATAAACATAAAATAATAACAAAATAAATGATAAAAATGCAATTTAAAAATCAGTAAAAAATCAAATACGACAATGCTAAATGAATAAGCCTTTGGGTTAAGGTTATTAACTTGGGGATGGTCAAATGATAATCTATGATGCTAATACAATCAATTATTTGCTAATCCTTAGCTCTAGGATTACTAATTTAAGTTAACCCACTTTCATGGCAAGTTTTCTACACTAGTCAAGCAATTAACATCAATTGATATTGGCAATTGATATTAACCCACATAGCACCCTGACCATCAATTTCCATTGGCTAGGACTCCTAACCACTCACTAAGTTCTTTCGGAAATTTCATCGAACATCTTCCGAACGTGAAACTTCTTGTGATCTAGACTAATTTAATCAAGATTAATCTAGCATTAAGAACATCTGAGGAGTAAAACTAAGTCTTAAACATCACAAATTATCACCTAGTCACCCTAATCTACTTAATCCAAAAGCTCTAAGAAAATTACTCACTTAAAACCATGAAAATCCAAGGAGTTGTCATTAATCCTTGAAGATTCATGTTACAAGAAGGGTAGAAGAGATAGATAAGAGATGAATCTAAAGAAAAACTTATGTAAAAGAAAGAATCACAAGAATTAAGAGTTGATAAAATAAATTACGAAAACTATGCTTAGGTAGCATAAAATATCTACAAATTAGGTTTAGAACATATTTGTAGAGAAATAAAAACGAATCGGGTCAACCGGGAACAAACCAGGATTTGATCCGGTTTAAGCACCCAATCGATCAACTAGTCGATTTCTTCAAGTAAGTCAATCGATCGATTGCCCGATCGAATTGGTTGTGTCCAAGGATGCAGATTAGTCCCAATCGACTAGGAAATCGACCAAATGGTCAATCGCTTTGCCTTTCTTCTACAGTTTTCCAATTGCTCGATTACTTCCTCGATTGTCTCATGTCCTGAAGTCTGGCATGTACCCAATTGATCGTTCAATCGACCGGTTGGTCGATTGCACCTCATCCTCTTGTTTCTTCACTTTTTTTTAGCTTTTTTTTGCTCCACTTGCTTCTAAAACTTCATGCTCCACTCCAAGAACCTAAAAATGATAAAGGCAATGCAAATATGCACATAGTAACCTAAACGTGAATGCAAAATAATGGGAAATTAAGAGAAAAAAATTAACCAAAACACAAGATATTAGAAGATTAACAACTAAAAGACACAAAGCATTCATGACTTTTTTGTTAGAGAAAACTAAGAAAATACAAGTAAATTTCTGAGGAAAAAATTTTTTTAGAAAGTAACTCCAATCAAAGTTTGTATAACCAATCGAAAACATTTATTTTAATTAATGTGTAGTTAAAAAAAGGATAACACAAAAATTTTACGTTTTTGGTAAATTAAAAAATATCCTTGCAATTTATTCATTGGTCAACTGACTTTGCCACTTCACATAAATGAGACTTCAAAGAACATTTTCGCAAAAATGCATGTAAACGCAAGAAGTTGAAGACGCATCTGACTTTGCCACTTCACATAAATGAGACTTCAAAGAACATCGATCAAAGAACATTTTCGCAAAAATGCATGTAAACGCAAGAAGTTGAAGACGCATTGGTCAAGTGACTTTGCCACTTTGTCCGTCCTTCTTGCACCCCAATCTCCTTAAGTGGGTTAAAGAGGTGTTGGCAGACTATCGTTCGTCCTTCTTTGCTAAACAAGTTGGATGCTAAACCAGACCCGGCTCAAAAAAATGTGGGATCTTGTGTCCAATCAAAAATAACGTTTATATTTTATACATATGTTTAGATTTAGACCCTTTTTATATAATTTTTAAGAAAATAGAACCCTAATTGCTTTAAAAAAAATGACTTAAAAAAAGTGGATCATGTGCAAATGCACTGTTGGCACACCTTCTAAGTCGGGCCTGTGCTAAACTAATCCAACTCTCTTTTGTTTCCGTATTGAAATCCCATTTGCCATTGAAACTAATCCTTCCGTTTTAAAATATAAGATGTTTTAGTTAAAAAGAAATATCCACTTTAAAAAGTTCAACTAATCACGAAGGAAACTGCATAATATAAATAATCAGAAAATATTAAATAAATATATAATTTACATAGAAACTTGAAAACGTCTTATATTTTGAAACAAAAATAATACTTCAAAACGTCTTACATTTTAAAACGGAGGAAGTATTATTTAAAAAATAAAAACTATCGATTCATCCTTTGTTTCCAACTCATATGCATGTAACTCCCACGTGGATATTTCTTACAAAGTACTAAGATCCAGCTAATTACAAACTACATTAATTATTATTAACCCGTTTAACTAAGATCACCTTAATGATGAAACGAATAGCATTATTATTTATTTTTATTAGGAAAAAACATTATTTTTGTTTTTTCTCTTTTATAGTATTTAAGACTTCAAAGGAAAAAAGTTTAGTTTATACGTCTACATGCATTTTAATACATCCACATCGCACGAATTAGATAATGTATCATCAGATTTTTTATTTTTTTCACTAGCAATAGAGTTCAACAAAGTGAAACAAAAACAGAGCATAACAAGCATTAAAGCTAAACAAAAGCCAATGACAAAAAAATACTTTTGTCAAACAATTGATCATCAATCCAATGGCCCTTCAAATACAAGATATTAAACCAGAAATACAAGGTACTATGGCACGAGATATTGAATTAGCCGACACCTCCACCGTTACGAAAGCACAAGGCTCAAATCCACTAATCACATAGTTGATAAATTCAAGTTAGTTACAAAAAAAGAAGAGAGAGAGGCCTATTTCTTGGATTCTTAATCACCTCAATTGCATGGTTACAAATTGATGCTACTTACTTACAATCGGTGAAGATCATTGATGCATTCTATAAAGCTCATAGGATAGTTAAATGAAATATCCGATCCAAAATAAAATTTTGCTAGCTTCCAACTTAGGAATCAATCCGATATAAAAATATTTGAAGAAAGTAAACG